ACAAATAGTTCCTTCCACACGAAGTTCAGCAAAGCCCTTTCCTCAACCTGCTGCACAGACTGGACCAGGGATTGGGCCCGCAGCCCAGGCTGGTGGGAGGGAGGCTGGCCTCTGCTCTGATGGCTCGCCCAGAGAGTCCCCCAATCCGGGGACCCAATCCCGGGACTCGATACAGGATGGTGGCTAGCGGGCAAATCACATAGCTTTGGGGGAAGAGGGTCCTAAAGGCTGCTGAGTCTCACGAGACTTCCCAGGAAAGTGGCTCTCCAACCCAGTCCCGGAGCTGCTGGAAGCAGAGTCCCTCCCGCCTTCCCACACCTCAGGACTGAGGGCATCTCCACCCATCTCTTCAGAGCAAACTAAAGAGGCTGCGTCACAGGAGAGGGCAGCCATCCATGCTGCCTCTCTCCTCCTCTGGTGGCTCGCTGCCCCCCGCCAGGCCACTCCGCTGGGGGGCCCTCTCCCCCTCCAGCGGGGGCGGGTGTGGCTCCCTGGCCCCGGCCTGACCCAGCTGGTCGCGGGCAGGAGGCGACCCGCATCCGCTGCACCAAACCCAGACAGGCACATTGGTTGATGAGTTTAGAGCCCTGCTGTCTGTCCTGTGTCCCTGGCCTCCCCTGCCTAGGGCATGGGGGACCAGGAAAATGTGACAGACAGAGGGGAAGCATTTGGCACACTGGCTCACACTGGTGGGGTGGAAGGAGCGGCACCAGGGAGACTGGGAAAACACAGAAACATGCTGCTGATTATGCAGGAAATGTGCTGGGAGCAGGGGTCCCAAGGGGGTGGGGGTGGGGCTGCTTCCAGGGTCTAGAGGGACCGACCCACGCTTGTCTGCAGACAGCCTCCTTCCCAGGCCCACACTTGGCAGGTTGGAGTTGTGCGAGGTCAGTCGGTTCCCCCCACAGCCCTCCTGCCCTTTGGACACTTTCTCCTCACTTCCCTTCCCCCTCTTCAGGGAACCAGTGCCCTCGGACTTCTGGAAACCACATGTTCCCGGCTCCGAAGGATCACTCAGATTTAAAATATTCCCATCCCACATCAAACCATGTGTCATGGTGCTGTCGCTGCCCCAAAGCCTCCGACCCAGCACAGTGGCTGACACACACACCCACACTGAGGAACTGAGGACCAGGAAGGGGGCATAGATTTAAAAGAGTAGCCCCAGGAACAGAAGGCTTCACCAAACAAACCAATCCCTTAGACTGGGATGGACCAGTCTAGTCAGGGCCACAGAATGAGCGCTCCACTCAGGGGACCACCTTCTCTGCCAAAACAGGATGCGCTTGCTTGGGTGGGAAGGTGGGGAGGGTGGCCTAATGGTCAGTGTGGCGCAGGCCATCCTCCCCGCCCCCCCCTTGCGGAAGATGAGCTGCCTTGTCACAGCAGAGGAGGACAGCCCTGAGCTGGGGGCCCAGGCCCCTCTCAGTTCTAGCCTGGGACAGGCCTTGTGGCAACTCACCCACAGGACCTCAGTTTCCCTACTGGTAAAATGGGAATAATCCTACCTACAAAGCAGGGCTGTTGTTAGCCTCACTGAGATAAGACCTGAATGATGCAGGCAAGTTAGATGTAGGACACTGGAGGGGTTGTGAACAGAACATCAAAAGATGGCTAAAGAAAATGTGGTATGGGGCGCCTGGGTGGCTCAGTTGATTAAGCACCTGACTCTTGGTTTCGGCTCAGGTCATGATCTCAGGGTTGTGAGATGGAGCCCCGAGTTGGGCTTCATGCTGGGCGTGGAGTCTGCTTAAGATTCTCTCTGTCTCCCTCTGCCCCTCTCCACCTTCTCTGTCTCAATCTCTCAAAAAATAATAATAACATGGTATATGTATACAATCAAATGCTAGCCATTAAAAAATGAAATTTTGCCATTCATGACAACATGGATGGACCTAGAGGGTATTATGCTCAGTGAAGTAAGTCGGAGAGAGAAAGACAGATACCATATGATCTCACTTATATGTGGAATCCAAAAAACAAAACAAACGAAAGAACCAGAAACAGACTCCTAAATACAGAGAACAAACTGGTGGTTGCCCAAGAGGATGGGGGTAGGGAATAGGTGAAGGAGGTGAAGGGGATTAAGAAGTACAAACTTCCAGGGGCGCCTGGCTGGCTCAGTTGGTAGAGCATGCGACTCTTGATCTCAGAGTCCTGAGTTCAAGCCCCACGTTGGGCATGCAGCCTGCTTTAAAAAAAGACAAACTTCCAGTTATAAATAAGTCATGAGATGAAAAGTACAACATAGGGAATGTAGTCAACAGTAATGTAATATTGCATGGTGACCGTGAGTAGTCACGATGTTGGACGCCCGAAGCTAATATAACCTTGCACGTCAACTATACTTTAATAACAAGCAGACACGCAAACACGATGGTCTGGCTGGGCGGCCTTGGGCAAGCTCCTGCCCCCTTCCATGTCCTGAGGCGGGGGACCAGCCAATCTTGAATGCCTTTTGCAGCTCGAGTCTCTCTCAGCGCCGTTTTTGAAGAACGACACTGCTGTCTTCACCCTTCCTAAGGGATTCTTTCTGGGGGAGGTGCTGCCAATTGCTTCTACATTGTTCCTCATGACAACTCAGAGCCCCTGCCAAGGGCCTTTGTCTGGACACTGTGGTGAGCCCTGGGCAGAGGGAATGAGGCAGATCCTGCCCTTCTGCTGCCCCCCAGGCCTGAGCGTGCTCTGTTGCCTCCCCTCCTGCCACACCCTGTCCCTAGGTGGGTTTTCCTGCCCTGGTCTCTGAGATCCCTGACAGCCAGCTCTTCGTACCCAGCGCGCACACACACACACACACACACACACACACACACACACAGGCTGTCTGTCCCCTGCCCTGCTGGCCACTCGGGCCGAGCCTGGTCTTGAGTCTTGAACCAAACTCCTAGGGTCTGGAGCTCCCCCATGGGTGCTGGGAGAGGTCCATGGAATTCTTTTCTAGGAAAGCTCCCTCCTCACTTCCTGCCGGGGTCAGACAGGGCCCTAGCTTTCTGGGATTTGCTGTCAGGGAAAGGTCTTGCTGTGCTTTGGGGTTGGGCATGATTCACAACCATCTGGTTCGGGAAGACCACACTCTCCAGAAGGGAAGACAACTCGCAGCTAATGACCTGAATGTGTGATGTTCTTCTCTCTTCACCTCCCCTTTCAGCACTGGAGTTTGATTTCCTCTCCCTCCTAGCACCTCCACAGCCTGCTGCTGTCCAGTGGGCCCTGGGACTAAGAGGGGCCCCTGGAGGTCACCATTCCCACCCCCAGCCTACAGGCCTGGCTGCACTGGACCCATCCAATCAGCCCCCCTGTCACTCGGCTCCTCTGTATCTTCTAACACACCCCATCTCCCATGCATCTCTCAGGACCTTGGCCACTTAGTCCTCTGACTTCTCTCTCGCTCTGGCTCCCTCTCGTCCTGTGTCTTCCTTTGCAGGTCCCCATCTCCGTGTCTTTGCATCGTCCCCTCCTCCTCTCTCCCCTCTGTCTCTGACCTGGTTGGTGCTTCTCCCTGGCAGTTCTCCGACTCTCCTTCCCCTCCAGTCCTGCCCTCTGCACTCATCACTACGGGCTTTGTAACCTACTTTGCAGAAATCTCATGAAGGGAAAAAAAAAAAAAGGAAAGAAAGAAAAGGCAGAGTTTGGTTTTCATCAGGGTAATGAAACCCTGGTGGCCTCGGAATGTGGCTGCAGGCCTGCCCACCTCCCTGCTGTGGCCCCCCTGCGTCCAGGACATCTGTGCCCTCCCTGCACGTCAGCAGGAGGAAGCGGCTCCCGAGCTCCCACCTGACTCCTCCATCAGGCCAGACAGAAACAAGGCAGCTGGGATGCGTGCCCCAGAGACACGGCCAAGCATGGGGGCAGAGCAGGACCCCACAGGGCCCGGGGCAGGTTTCCGACAGCGGTTAGGTATTTATTATGGATCCAGTGTTTGTGTTCCTTCACATAGGTTTGTATTCCTTCTTACACTGAAGCCCTAACCCCCCATGCAACAGGATTTGGAGGTGGGGCCTTTGGGAAGTTATTGGGTTCAGGTGAGGTCATGAAAGTGGGCCCCCCATAATAGGATTAGTGTTCTTGTCAGAAGAGGGAGAGACGAGAGCTCTCTCTCTCTTTGCCATGTGAGGACACAGCAAGAAGGTGGCCACCTGCAAGCCAGGAGAAGGCTCTCACCAAGAACGAATCAGCCAGCATCTAGATCTTAGACTTCCCCACCTCCAGAGCTCTGAGGGATCAGTGTCTGTTGTTCAAGCCGCCCAGTCTAGGGGATTCTGTGATGGCAGCCCTAGCTGACGAAGCCACTCTTCCATCCCGGTGGCCCCTCCGTGGAGAGGCAGCGGCCTGGTCAGACCTCCAGGCCCAAGCTGGACCAAGGCCGGCCCCACGCAGCACTCTCCACCCTCACCTTCAGCTTTGGTCACCTCTGGCTTCTGCCACAGGGGCTCCCACAGGGATGGGAAGGAGGCTACCTGCCCCCACGGCTGGCCCGCCTGAGTGCTGGCCCCCAACCCAGGAGCCTGCGTGGGCCCAGGGGACCCAGACTGGACCCCTGGCTAGCACAGGACACTGATCCACTGGGCTCCTTGAGCGGGGAGAGTAGGGCAACAGGCGTGAGGACAGTCCAGGCCGACTCTCCCTGCATTCTCCTGCTCGCTGTCTTACATTCCAGGAGCCCCTATGTGCCCCTCTCTGCCCCACTAAAGGCTCCTGTCCACCCGGCTGCCTGCGTGCCCTCCATTCCCCACTCACGTCTCACGCCTGCACAGGGGCACTGCGAGTGGGGAGCTGCCCGGGGAGGGGGCTGTGGGTGCAAATTCCTCCTGCATTCCAAGGCTGAACCTATATCATCATGACAATGGCTGTTGGTTTGGGTTTTAAGATTTATTTATTTATTTGTCAGAGAGAGAGAGAGAGAGCACAAGCAGGAGGAGCGGCAGGCAGAGGGAGAAGGAGGCTCTCTGCTGTGCAAGGAGCCTGCTGCGGGGCTCGATCCCAGGACCCCAGGATCATGACCTGAGCCAAAGACAGATGCTTAACGACTGAGCCACCCAGGTACCCCAATGACTATTGATTTTGAACATCTAAAGGGTATAGGAGCTTACAGTTTACAAAGGGCTTCCTCCTACCGCATTTCATTGAATCCTCACAACAGGATGGTCTCTGTGTCTGTTTTACAGAGGACACCAAGGCTCTGGGGCTTGTTACACTCAGCACAGCACTGGCCCCCTACTCCGGGGCTGTGGACCAGCTAGCTGTCTCCTGACACACGGCCCCTGCTTGGCCAAGGATACCCTACTAACCCACAGGGACACCTTGTGCCTTCTTGCCTTTGAGCTCTTGTGTGGCCATTCTCCTGCTAGAAATGCCCTTACCCCTCTTTTCTGCTCCTTTAAATCCTGCTGGTCGTTCGCAGCCCGGCTCGTGCCCTTCTGCTACTGGAAAGCCTTCCAGCACTAGGAGGGAACAAGCCTACTTACCGTGTTGCATGCAGAAGCAACACCACGGAGCTTCACAGCCGTGGTAGAGCCTGCTATTTGTCCCTCAACATTCATTCTCCCCTTCTTCCTCAGGAATGGAACCCCTGGATTTTAGTGGGGTACTTGGCTGCCCAGGCTCTATGTGGTTAGATGTAGCCAAGTTGTAGCCGACCGAGTATAAGCAGAGTGGCATTTATTACTCTGGGAAAGTATTCATATTCATTTTTCTGACCTCCTTTCCTACTTCCTGCCAGCTGGAATGTGAACACGATGTCTGGAGCTCGAGCAGCCATCTTAGACCTTAAAGGTGGATACCACGTGTCAGGATGGCACCACATCATGACCAAAGTAACTTGAGAAACTGATGGTCCTGTTGCTGCGCCACCATCCCTGGGCCCTTAACTTCCACACTTGGCTTATCTGAGGCAGTAATCAGTTTCCATCCTGTTTAGGCCACTATTGTTTGGGATGTTGTACCACTTTCGCCAAACACAGTCCTGCCTGGTACCAAAACCCCCGTCAAGTAAGTGCTTATGGAGCACTTACTTTGTGTCAAGCACAGGACAAGTCAGGATTTTTTAAGCTGGTTTTCACTTAGTTTTCACAGCAACCTTAAAGCTGGGTGCTAATACTAATTAATTAATTTTAGCTACAGCTCCCAAATGAGTTTTGTTCATTCCACAACATTTGTTGGGTCCTGCTACACGCTAGACACTGGGCAAGGCCTTGAGGATTCAGCAGTGAGCAAGATAAACTTGTCTTCCAAACACTGACAGTCTAGTGGGGGAAACAAGCAAATGGAAATAACTGTACAACGTGATGGTAATAATACTGTATCATCATTTTAAGATGCCATCAATTGTAAGATACACTGTTTTTTATGTACCATCAAGAAAAATAATACTGCCATGAAACTGAGACATGATGTCTTAATAACAGTCCCATGTGACACATGAACCAGTCACACCAACCTCTCATTACTTTGAAATTGTTTATTATCTACCCTAAGGGATTTCACAATTTCTCCGGGCTCCAGGTGCCTTGCTTCCTATGTGACAGTCCATCTTCTAGACAGATCTCAGTAATAAAATATAGCCCAGCTTTAACCATTGGTAGCTTCCTTTCCTCTCCCATAAAGCACGTGGTTGTTGTTTTGGAGGGAGCACAGACTGTGGTTATTCCTCTGATGAATATTTGCTTCATTAATATCAAATTTATGCCCTGCTGCTCTGTTTCGTATCTTTCTTCCTACTCAACAACTTTTTCATCTCTCTGTTGAATCCTAGCATCCTTGAAGGCACTTTGGATGGCAGTTAAACTCCACAAATAAAATACCCAAGAACGCACAAAACTCCTACCAAAGAGCTACAGCCGAGTTTATGCTCATGTACCTGGTGACTCCGATGTGGGACTGTCACCTGAGAAGCAGTGATCCTAAGATCCTTGGCTGTAAGCACAGCTGGGTCTCAGGGCTGTGAAGACGTGAAGGAAAAAAGAAAAAAAAAACAATGTATGTCTTCCAGAGCCTGGAGGAGAGAGGAATGGGGGAATGACTGCTCAGTGTGCATGCGGCTTCCTTCCGGGGTGATGAAAATGTTCCAGCACTAGACAATGCGGATGGCTGCACACAGTGTGGATGTATTAAACGCTGCTGGATCGTACACTTGAAAATGATTAAAATGGTAAATTTTATTTTATGTGTATTTTACCACAATTTCTTTAAAGTATGTTTTAGGGGGGCCTGGGTGGCTCAGTCGTTAAGCGTCTGCCTTCGGCTCAGGTCATGATCCCGGGGTCCTGGGATCGAGCCCTGCATCGGGCTCCCTGCTCAGCGAGGAGTCTGCTTCTCCCTTTGTCTGCCGCTCCCCCTGCTTGTGCTCGCTCTCTGACAAATAAATGAAATCTTAAAAAAATAATAAAGTAAAAATTAAAATAAAAGTATGCCTTAGGCTGCTACCATTTTCATCAAATCTTACTCAAAACTAACTTTCAAGCCCTGTTCTAAGTACATGACATGCCGAATCCATTGCGATCCCAACAACAGCCTCTACCACAGCTCATCACAATCGCTACCATCTATTGACCATGGGCCCATCCATGGCTCAGTAAGGACTTTACAGGCCCCAGTCCGCTCACCCCTCCTTACAGCCCCATCGTTCAGACTGTTCTGCCTTAACGCTCGTTCTGAAGATACACACGTGTTCCCATAGGACGGCCATGAGGCTTCACTTTTGCTCATGTGTGATTTCGCCCTGGCCAGCGGTCTGTTTCTGCACATAGAGGTTACTGGACACAAGGACACCCACTCGTCCATGTCGGCTCTGTGGCTGCTTTTGCACCAGGACGGCAGAGTTGGATTGCTGCAGCAGGGGCCGTGTGGCTCGGCAAAGCTGAAAGCATTATGTGGCCTTTGAAGAAAAAGTTTGCTGAGCCCCGTGTTGTGTGAACCCAGAAAACTGTACCCTGCTGAGCTGTGTAGACAGAACACGTGCACTCTCCCGGAAGAGGGATGGTCCGTAAGCAGTGACGATGCAGTGCTAGAGAGGGGACTGCTGTGCACAGAGTCCCCAGGAGGGCTGATGGGATCAAGAAAGGCTTCCCCAGGTGCAGAACCACCCTCGCTGCCGGGCTCCACAGTTAGGCGAGAGGACAGAGGCCCAGAGGCAGGGCAAGCCCCCAGAGTCCATTCCTTGCCCCCTGTGCCCACCTTGGGGCTGCATTTCCCTGTGGCTCTGTCCCTGATTCAGGGGCACCAGCCATCACTTCTGGGTCCTGGGCTCAGGACTCAACCCACAACAGACCCTTTCTACTCTGTTCCGTGGGACACATCCATGCGTCCTTTCTCCCAGAAGATTCAGGAACATCAGACTGATCTCAGCAGGGCAAACTCTCCTTTGGTTCATCCACTGGGCAGCAGGCCAACCATCTCTAGCCCTTTGGGTTTCTCAAGTGGGAGTCAAGCACCAGTCCATCACCCCATAGTGCATAGTGCCGGGATCCCATCCTCATCTCCCTGAGAAGCTCCGATGAAGCCCCCACTTGAGCTTGATGTGAGAGGCAGGTACCTTCCACACCTCTTCCTCACAGAGGAGGAATCAGGCCTTCAATAAATAAACCCTTTCCCCAGATTCTCCAACAAACTGACCCTCCACCCCAAAAAAGGGCTGTAAGATTTGTAAAACAAGCTTAAAATTGTTTCCTTATAAAATTGGCCATTTGTTTCCAGTGACTCTGGGAACTGATACCTATCATCTTAAGCTCTCAGCAGAAACTTCCACCCTGTTTCACCACCTCCTCAGACCTGAGGAGCTGGAGACCAAACAGCTCTTCCCAGACAGCCTCCCCGACTGCCCGGTCAGAGAGAGGTCTCCAAGAGAAAGAGGCCTCCTGGCTTGGCCCCTAACAAGGTCCTGCCTGCTCTGGGGACACGTCTACTGTTAGCAGATAGTTGTGTGGTGCAGAAGGAAGCCCGACAGGCCTGGTGTATTGCCACTTCCTTGATCTGTGTGACCTTACACAAACTTTTGAGCTGAGCTTTATTTTCATCATAAAATGGAGATACAAAGTAATAATAATACAGTCCCAATTGCCCAGAGTCATTGTCAGAATTAAATGTGTGGAGTATAACCCAAGTGGATCCAATGACTTCATTCAGCTCCTGGACAACAAGTCTTAACTGAAGGCTCCTGGGCAGCCCCAGGCCTCTGGGAATGGAAAGGATGGGAGTCTTGCCCTCAGAGGGTTTACCATCTGGTTGGGCAGAGAATATGCACATGGCTGAAAACAGAAACGACAACCCACATCGGGTAAAGCCACAGGGAAGATTCACATGTTGGTCATGGGCTCCTAGTCAAGTCAGAAGCACAGTATAACTCAGTAGAAGAAGAATCCTGATTTGGGACCGCCTCTTTAGAGGAGGTGGGCCTGGGGCAGGGCCCCAACAGTAAGATTGAACTGGGGGCCTGGGTGGGATGGGGGAAGAGGAGTGAAATTTCTCCTGGTGGTGTTCCTAAGAAGGCCCGAAAAAGTGTGCATGGTGAGGGCGCCTGGGTGGCTCAGTCGGTTAAACGTCTGCCTTCGGCTCAGGTTATGATCCCAAGTGTCCTGCAATCGAGCCCCGCATTGGGCTCCCTGCTCCGCGGGAAGCCTGCTTCTCCCTCTCCCACGCCCCCTGCTTGTGTTCCCTCTCTCGCTGTCTCTCTCTGTCAAATAAATAAAATCTTAAAAAAAAAAAAAATGCGTGGTGAACAGAATTACACATTTGCCCCACGTGTTTATGTATTTAGAGTCACAAACCAGATGGCAAAGTAATGCAGGGACTGGTGGTCCTCTGAGCAACCTTGATGGCTCATTAGAATTACCTGAGCAGCTTTAAGAACGACTGAGGCCTGGGTCCTCCCCCAAGAGACTCCCGCATGCTTGCTTTGGGGTTTGATCTGGGCATTGGGATTTTGAAAGCACCCAGGGGATTCTAATGTGCAGCCCGGGTTCAGGACCATTGCTAGCCTCTCAAACTTCAATGGGAGCAGTCTGGCTTCTGTTTAAAAAAAAAAAAAAAAAAAAAGGTGCTAAAAGAGAAAACAACTTTATTTTGAAATGCCAAAATGCCAGGGTGGGGTGGTGCTGTGAAATGCCCGTACTACGTTTGCCTGCCTCCAGCCACTGCCCCCACATTCTTCCAGCTGCTTCAATAAATTCAAGCTCCGGCTCAAAAGGCTTCCTTCCCTTTCTGGAAAATTCTATTCCCAGGAAACTCCCCCCTAACTGTGGATGCATCTTGTTCTTAGTGCTTTGCTATGCTTGTCAAAGCGCTCTGATCCTCCAGCATCATGCAGTTTTGTTCAAATGCCATCAAATTGCAAAGAATTTTCCAGAAGGGCCAGAGGAGCCCTTCCCAAGGAGGCCACTGCAGCAGCAGAGGCCAAGGGGAAAGTGCACTGGACTTGGGAGCCAAGATCCCCCCCGGCCCAAGTTCTGACATGACCACTAACTGGCTGCCCCTCTGAGCCTGAGTTTCCACATCTGTGAAATGGGGGAGGCCTGGGTGACCCCATGTTCCTCCTCACCCTGGCTCTCTGACGCTTCACAAGCCGCTCCAAGCTGAACACAGCGGGGTCTGAGTGCGGCTCACCTCCAGGCTCTGCCTCCTGGGGCTTCCGCCAAGCCCTGGGCCTCTTGCCCAGCGAGCAGCGGGCACAAGGGGCCTTCACAGAGTCTCTGCGTGGTTCTCCTGGGGAGCAGGGGCGGGGAGGCAGGGAGCCTCGCAGACCTAACACAAGGCCTCGTCTGTGTCCAGGCTGAGGGAGGAGTGGACTGAGCCGCCCATGGGGACGCTACCTTGCCTCTGGATTTTTCCGTGGCCTTTTTTAGAGCCTTTCATTTGATCATTCAATAACCCCTCAGCAGTGGAGACCGATGAGGACAATTAGCTCCATTTCCCATTGAGGATGCTGAGGAGCTGAGGCTCGATGAGGCAAAGTGGGGCTGGAGGATGCCATGTGTCAGAGCAATCAAGAGCATCTGCTGCTCGGACATTTAAACTGCCTTTTAAAAAAAAAAATATGGAATACTTCACGAATTGGCATGTCCTCTTTGCACAGGGGCCATGCTAACTTTCTCTGTATGGCTCCAATTATAGTCTGTGTGCTGCCAAAGCGAGCACGCCATTTAAACTTTCTAACCCTCAATTTTCGCACCTAAAAAAGTAAATACTCTTAACTGCTCTAGTAGGCCTGCCCACACTCTATGGGGTGGGAGGCTCATGGACACCTTTGGTCATGAGGTGGGTCCCAGGAGTCAAGTCAGTGCAAAGGCAGGGCCCTGAGAGATCCATGAGAGCCCAAGTGGTGTTCTACAACTTTCTGTATTTCGTCTCCTATCATCCTCACAACAGCCCTGTCTGTCAGGTACTCTTGGCCCCATTTCGCAGAGGGAGAATCAGAGGCTGAGAGTCCACACACAGGGGCCAAACTCAGTTCCAAGTTACGTTCTTCCACTACGCTGTGCTGCCCCTTGGATGTGGGTGTAGCTCAAGAGGCAAGTTCTCATTCTGTTATCCCCTCTGTCCAGACAGATAGATGGACAGACAGCCTGCAGGACGTGGTCAGGCTCAGCCCTAGGTACCATCACAGGCAAAGAAACCAGGGAAGGAAACTGCTGAATTTGAGAAATTTATACTTTGAAATCATCCCCTTCCTCAGACCAGAGGGAGTCTTCACAGAGAAATTTTATAGGGATTAAAGAGTTCCATACTTTTTAATAACCTAGGAAAACTAGAAGAGACTTAAACATTCATCAGATCTCTAGAGGAAGAATGTCTTTTATTAAACTTGGAAATCACTGATAAAAATCACAAAGGAGCGATTAGCGGGTCTGACTACAGAAACGTATAAATTTTCTGCATTAAAAAAATGACTGAAAAGGGACAAGTGGGGAGAAATATTGGCAGCAAATAAGGGAGATAAAACTATCTGGTTTTATGTATTTATGTATTTATACTCTGCCTCCTTCCTAAACAGGTGTGAGGAGGGTATATTACATAAAGAGCTCATAAAAACTGAAAGTTTAAAAACCAACAAAGAGCCTTATAGATAGATGGGCAGGGGCATGAAGAAGGCACTTACATAAAACAAATTATAACCAGTAAACAGATTTACAGAAAAATGTCCAGCCTAGCTAATCACCAGAGAAAGGCAACATCAAATAGAAAAAACAAAACATTTCTGTTGACACCCAGCTGGCACATGAGTGTGATCACAATTACACCCCATCATTCTTGAGGACAATCCTATGTTGATAGGTACCGAGAACTACAAAAATATTTCTCCTCTTCAACAGAGTAATCTTACCACTGGGGATTTTTGCCGAAGATTCTAAAATGGGGAAAGCGTGACGTGCACAAAGATGCCCACTGCAACATTAGGAAACAAGCTTAAAATTGAAAATGGCTGACTGAACTTTGCCCCACCCACTCAAGGAAATCCAACGCAGCTTTTATAAAAGAAGTTCACAGAGACTTATGGCGAATAAAATGCCTACAACAAAATGTTAAGTTTAAAAAGCTGGTAAAAATAAATATATAAATAAAATAAAGACCAGGATAAATATTTGGAGTATTCATAATATATAATTCGTACTATGAATATAGCTATGTGAAAAAATACACCCATGCAAATAGGAGAAAGGCACATCTGTCCCCAACACGGTCAGACCCTGGGGTGAGGGTACAGACAGAGACCACATACCAAATGCCTAAATGCTAAAGAAATAATTATCTATGAAATAGTTATGAAGTTAATTTAATAACTAATAATTTGCATTAATATAAATTGAATGTAAATATGAAATATTTATTAAATATTAAATTATTGACTAATTCAAGCTAACAAACTGTCACATAAAATGTCAAATATCCTCTTACCTTGTGATGAGTTAAGAGGCCTATTGTCATCCCTAGAACAACCACTACGAAAATAACAAACACAGTTGAAAAACCAACAAAGAAATTAAAATGGTAGCTACTTAATACAAAAGGAGTCAGGAAAGGAGAAACAGGAACAAAACAGACATGAGACCTATCAAAAAGGTAAATGTAAATCCAATTATATCAGCAATTACTAGTACAGACTGAATGCTTGTGGCCCCCCGGAATCCACATGTTGAAACCCTGCCTCCCAATGTGATGGTATTTGGAGGTGGCGCCTTCTGGAGGCAACTGGGTTTAGATGAGGTCATGAGGGTGGGGCCTCCATGATGGGATTAGTGTCTCCATAAATAGAGGGAAACCAAATCTCTCTCCCTGCCCGGTGAGAAGGGAGAGAAAAGGCAGCTATCTACCAGCCAGGAAGAGGAACTGAATGGGCCACCACCTGGATCTTGGACTTCCAGCCTCCAGAACTGTGAGCAATAACTGTTGTTTAAGCACCCGGACTATAGTGTTTCCTTATAGCAGCCCGAGCTACTGAGACAATGGCACTGAATCAGAGCGGCTCTGTTCATAATAGCACCAAACTAGAAATTACTCAAATGTCATCAACTAGTGAACAGATACACAATGGAATACTAACCAGCAATTAAAAAGAAACAAACTACTGACGCATGCTATAACACAGATAAACCTCAAATACATTACGCTAAGTGAAAGAAGTCAGGAGTGAAAGGCTCCGTGTTGTAGGATTCCATCTATACGACGCGTCCCAAACAGGCACATCCAGAGGGGCCGGCTGGGGCGGACAGTGTAACAGGAGTGGACTGCAAATGGCCACAGTAGTTCTTTGGAGGGGGTGATGGAAATGTTCTAACACTAGATTATGATGATGGTTATGGTGATGCACAACTCTGTACACGTATTAAAAAATCACTGAATGCAGCATTTCAAATGGGTGAAATTTATGGTACACAAATTATACCTCAATAAAGCAGTTTCTTTAATATGCTAAAATTTAAAATATTTGTGCTGCAAATGATACTATCAAGAAGGTGAAAAGATGACCCACTGAATGGAATAAAATATTTGCAAATCATCTATCTGATCGGGGACCTGGATCCAGAGTATATAAAGAACACTTATTTTTCAATAAAAAGATAACCCAATATAAAAATGAGCAAAAGAGCAAAACAGACATTTCTCCAAAGAAGATCCGCAAATGGCCAAGGAGCACATGACAAGATGTTCAATACAGCTATGAACAGGACAATGTTGCCGCCTTCCTGGAGCAGCTGGGAGGAGAGAGGACAAACAAATACATTTCAGAAAGCATGCATGTCTGTCTCCTCGAGGCCAGAAATATGCCTGGCTTCTTCTCCTTCTAAAACTTTCTCTGCCTCATACAGGGAGGCACCTATAGATTATGAATAGACTCTGTGTTTTAATGGATCACTCCTTGAAGAAATCCACCCAAATAACACTATGAGATTTGACTCCACAAGGAGCATTCCTGCAGTAGGAGGGGAGACACTTTTGGTCATACCCGCTCATGCGTGCATGCATTTATTCATTCATTCACTCAACAGGTTGTTTGAGCCTCCTGTATTAGTTAAACCATCTTTGTCTGCCAGTAATAGGAACCTAATTTAAACTGGCTCAAGCATAAAAAGGAATTTGTTGGCTAAAGTAACTAAAAATGGACAAGGGTGGCTTAATCCAGGTGTGCAAACAGCATCATCAGGAATTTCCGTCTCGGACCAGTCTTGCTCTGGTTAGCTCCATTCTTGAGGGAGTGCTCCCTTCGTGAAGGCAAATGGCTGCTGATGGCCCCAGAATCTCATCTTCTAGTTCAACACCCCATGGACAGTGGGCTTTTCCTCCCCAGCCCTGACTCCCCCTTCCAAGGCTCCCTCTGCCCTTTTCCCCCAGAAGTCCTGCCTGGGTTCCTACTGGGTTGATGAGTCCTGACTTAGCCCTGACTCATGACTGGGTTGGGGGTCAGCCCTGTCCAAAGCTCAAGGACCGAGAGCAGGGGAAAGGGTGGCTCCTAGAATAAAACTGAGGTGCTGGTGCAGAGGCAGGAGAAGATGCCTCATAAACCAACCAAAATAACCCGTGTCCCTACACCCTTTGGTACCAGGCCTATCAATCACTGTCTTATCTTACATATATAATGCATATAGAATATGACTGAGAAAATACTGTGGAAATTCAGAAGGGGGGATTATCTTTCTGTAGAGGGAATCAAGGACCAACTAATGGAGGAAGTAACATATGAGCTTGACTGATGGATGAGTGAAATTTTGTATATGTATCCATGAGAAGGGGGCACTCCAGGCTGACCCAAGGTGTGAAGGCAGCAGACTATAAATGGGGAAATTTAGTGGTTCCGTGTGGCCAGAACAGAGGCCCAGGAAGAGGAGCTGTGGCCTATGTGGGAGGAGGAGGGTGGGCATCGGACCTCAGATGCCAGGATAAAGAGCTCGAACCGACGTCGAGAAAGCAGGAAAGCACTGAAGGTTGTGATCAGGGCAGTGCTATCATCTGGGACATTAATCTGGTTGGATTTAATTTCATTTAAAAAGGTGGGGTGGGGGGGAGAATGGAGAGCAACCAATTAAGAGACTCCAGAAGTGGTGTATGCAAAAAGCATCAATAATCTGAATGTCCCAATGGCACCTCCAACCCAGCATGTCCAAGACAGAAGCCAGCCGGCTTCACCTTCCCCACACCACTTCTCTGCCTGTGTCCCTTGTCCTAGTGGATAGCATCTGCACCCCCACAAGGCAGCCTGGAATCTTCCCTTTTCCATATCCCCCACAACAGACTTATCTACAAATCCAGTCGGTTCTTCCTCCTAAATATTTCTGAATGTACTTGTCTTGTTCCTCTGCACCACCTTTCTCCTCCATCTGTTGCTTGGACGGCTTCTACAGCTTCCTAACTGGGCTCCCTGCCTCCAACTGGTCCCCTTTCAATGTTTCGGTGCTCTACACAGTAGCCAGAGTCCTCTACTTAAGTGACAGCCAGCTGGGGATTCCCCACCGACCAACCCCTTTCAGGACATGGTCTCAGCCTCACATCTTCCTGCCCCCCCCACCCACATCTTCCCTCCCCTCCCCCCACTATTCCAAGCTGCTCTCTGTGCACCAAATGTAGCAGGACCTCTTTCCCCTCTGGACCTTTGCACATGCTGCTTCCTCTGCTCTCCCCCTTTTTTCTCTGTTCCTGCTCTA